CGAAAATAATTCAGGATCACCACAACATGAGGAACTGTATTAAAGGGTCGTAACATCACAAAGGTTGAGAACCAGTGACGCAGAACCTCTGCTTGACTCAGCTGTCTGAGAACTGGGTACTTGGCATCACACCCTTTATCTCAGAAACTCAGCCAAGTTGCCAGCATCCTCAAGGCACTTGTTACTTCACTAGCCATGCTTCTGCCCAAGGTGTTGATTATGTCCTTGAGACCAGATGACTTCTATGGCCATTATTTCTAAAGCAATTATGAGTGTGGCTAACCAGAGAAGAGACCCAAGGCTTTTAAGGTGGAAGCAAGATTCCCCACTCCCATTTCACACAGAAAGTTCTTCGAGAAAAGTTGAGAACCACTTAGACCTGAATGAATAAAGCTAATTGTCGTGACTGTATGTATCAGAAACAGATGAATACATTCACATCCTTCTAGAATGTCAGTATTTGCTGAAGAACACAAATATATGAGATACAGCGGTTGCATTGACGGCAGTTTGGCTGGTAATTTCTCTTTCCTTGATACCCAGCCAAAGCAAACCCAGGTGCCTTCATTTCCATCTTAATCATTAAATATTAACTCTCAGCTCGTGCACCACACATCACAGAGTAAACAGCTCTCTGTATTTGTATGTAGGTGGGTTGCAGAGGGTTAAGGAGGCCACAGTGGGGTTTAAGAACTTTCAGAGAGGCTTGAGAAGCAGAATTTATGACACTGATGCAGGAATGAGATAACAAACCAGGGTGTCTGTGGGGGATGCTGCTGCTGCTGCTGCTGCTGCTGCTGCTGCTGCTGTAGAATCAGGCTGCTCGGTCAGAGCTGAGTTGAGTTTCAGGATCAATTATTGTTGCAGATAGTGCGGGACCCTGGAGGCCACAGAAGTGAAGAACACTACGGGGTCCAGACAAACAAATCAGCAGTGACGAACAGGCAGAGGGTGGTGGTGATTCCAGGAGGCCACATTAACAACAGAAACTGCGTTGAGCTGAAGTCCTTGGGAGGGCTAGGTCTCCGCCTGTCTATCCATTCCTTGATGCCACACTCTAGCTTGTTTGACATGTTTGTATTGTGTCCTTGCCTTTATGGGTTTCAAGAGAGGGTGTCACACACTTTTTTCAGTCTTCTGTGCAACACAAGTCCTCAGACCCAATTTTCCTACTAGGACAGTAAGATGCCTTTCTCCTACTAGGACAATAAGTTGCTTTTATACAAGCAATTTGTCTCAACCACCAGAAAAGGAACCAAAAGATCAAGTTTTTAGCTAAGTTTATCACAATTGTTTGTTTATATGTTTGTGGGTGTGTGCATGGATGTGTGCTCACAAGTGTAGAAATCAGAGAACAAATCATCAGAGTTGGTATTTTCCTTCTACCATGTGTGTCCTGGGGTCAAACCCTGGAGATCAGATTCAATGACAACTGCCTTTTAACTAGCTAAACCATCTTGGTAGCTGAAGACCAAGTTTCTATGACCTGAATTCTTAGCTCAGACACAAATTAATATGTAGTTGAGCCTTACCTCTTGGATCTCAACTTGTTCATCCATAAAATGGTGTGGATTAGATTTGTAACTGTGGCTGATTTTGCCATTCTATTAAATTTTATGTTGTTCATTGTAAAGGGCTGAATCGTATCTCCATCCCATCCTTCAAAGTTTACATGTTAAAATCTTAACTTCTGGTATCAAAGAATGTGACTGGGTATGGACATTGATTGGAATGTTAGGTAAGCTAGCATGAGGTACAGTGGACCCTAATCCAGGGTCCTTAGAAGAAGGGAGGCAGCCATCTGCCATAAGAAAGAGAATCTTCCAGGGAACCAGCCCTGCCACACCTTGATCCTCCACTATTGTGAAAAAATTAATTGTTGTTGTGTAAGTCCTCCCATGGAAACTGAATGGCTACTACCATCACAATGACTCAATAGACCCTCTCAAAAATCTTTGTGAAGTTGCTATACTGGATATTTAAGAAAGTGAGGCTTAGTTGCCAGAATTCAAAATACCACTGCTCACATCTGTTCTACATATTGCCTCAAAACCTCTAAAATATAAAAATAATATGCCTTTCGATGGCAAACAGACAATATCTGAAGCGTAGCCTTTAGTCCCTATTGTTGCTTTATAGATAATTGTAATGTGAAAACAGTTCATATGAGGCAATATTCCTCAAATATCTGTCATGAAATACTTAATATGCATTTGCATAGATTTACCATAAATGTATCTGCATTAGTTAATTGGTGGGTATGATGCCACATGCCTGTAGTCCCAGAACTTGGGAGGTAGAAGCCATGTTTGGTTTCCAGTACCCACAATGGCAGATCACAGCAGTCTATAACTCCAGTTCCAAGGGATCCAACACCCTTTTCTGGCCTCCACAGCTACTGCACACATGTACACATGCCTACATACAGGCAAAACACACACATATATATATGTATATATATAAATGTTGACATTCATGTGCTAGTAATATTTTGTATGTGTTTCCATTTTATAAAACTGTTTCATATTTAAATGATATTGTTGGATAATTTATCCTTATATTAAGGGCACTGTGTATACAATCACATTTATTTCACCATAAATTACATTAAGATGTTTTACATCTATTTTTTTACACATAAAGTTTATGTAAAAATTTTTTTCTCTTTTTCAAGTTATATAGATGTCAACAATGGAAAATCTAAATATTTCAGCTTGCAACTGAATTTGTGCTGAGCTAAGCCATACCTAATACTAAAGGTTATTTCTCTACTATTATTTTAAAATACATCCAAGAGTCTAATACAATTCAGTGCAAATTTTACATATTTGAGCCAGACTAAGAAAGACACAGAACAAACCAACCAGCTGAAAGACAATTTTTAGTTTAGCATGAAACATTAGAAGATGATGAGGGTCTTTATCACTTGATGCTAGCAGAGTGGTTACTTATAGGGATGCTCCTTAAAGGATGGTTCGAAAAGGTGGGGATATTGCCCAATGGAAAAGTGCTTGCCTGGAATTCTCAAGCCCATGACCCTGATACTCACTATTGAAGTAACAAATACGTGAATCAATGTTCGATTGTAGTCTTAAATGAGTAGTTCTTAAGGATTAAAAATTGGCTAGATGTCTTTGGAAGAATGTATCTCCAAGCTCACATAGATGTATTTTTAGTTTTGAATGAACTGTACTTTCAAAGCTCCATGGTTCATCTTTAATTTCTGTAATAAAGCTAACATACTTAAAAGGATTGAAACATCTTTGGAATGCACATAAAATGTCAGCTGTGAAACGTACCCTTTATTTTCCAAATTGCCAATCTCACTGCCCTTGAATAAAAATACACGCAAGAATTATTTTTCATAATACTTCAAAGTCATTTGTAATAGTTTCATAAAAGGCCTCTGTTTGGGAAATCTGAAAACTACTAATCCATTTGTGAATGGCAAAGCAATAGTTGCTAAATCACTTAAGGAAAACCTTAAGAATTATCAACGAATCTAGTGTAAAGCTTAATTGAATTACAATAATGAAATTGAAAAAATATAAAATTCAAGAAATGAGTTATTACTTAAAACGAGACAGTATGCTAATCACGTTTATCTAGCACTCATGAGAAAGCATGGATATTAGTCATATTTTATCATAGTTTTTGAGATTTATTTATTTTTATTTGCTGAGTGGGTGTTTGGCCTGCATGCATATTTGTGTACCACATACATGTAATGCCTTTGGAGGCCAAAAGAAGGTTCATTTGGAAGTGGAGTTACAGTGAGAGGCCATGTGGGTGCTGGGAATTGAACTAAGATCCTCTGCTCAGCGCTCTTATGTGCTAAGCCATCTCTCAAGCTCATGTTTTGTCACACTTTAAGTCTTCAGTATTATACACAGATTGCCTAAAAGTGATCTAACTTTAAATATACATAATTAACATAGAATTACTTTTGTTTGGCTGATAAAATGGAAGTAAATTTCTTTCACTTTTATTTTAAACACACACACACACACACACACACATATATATATAATATTTTGGTGTTTGATTTTATTATGAAAAAATGTAAAATTCAACAGTAGAGGATCTAGATATTTCAGTTTATAGCTGAATTTGTGCTGCTCTGCAGCATATTGAATATTAAAGGTTATTTTATGACCAATATTTTATTAGTACTCCAAAGTTCTAATATAATTCAATGTCAACTTTGTACATTTGAGTCAGGCTAAGACACAGAAGAAACCAACCAGCTGGAAAATGTTTTCTAATGCGACATGAAAAACTCTAAAGCAATGCTTATACTATGAAAGAGCTGCACTTTGAAACATTGATGTTATCAAATCTTCATATAACCGCTGAAAAGTTAAGAACAAATAAGTGGAGAACGTAATTTTTGGATATTGTTTACATCACTTCTGCCTACTTTACTCAAACAAAGAGTATTAGTAAATCCACTCCTTCTGCTGTTTTAATAGACAGTAGAATTAACAGTGGTTTTTTATTACACCTATGCAGTCAAAGCAAGATTTAGATACAGGTCTAGATAGCAATGTCCTACTGCAAAGTTTCATATTGGGTAAGAGGTCGGAAGACATCTTTGGAAGTGGAATGCATGTGTCGTTCTGGTGTCTAGAATATACTGTCCATATCACATGAGATTGATTTTCATTTATTTCCTCACCTGCAGGATGCCATGACTCGTCAAATCGAATGAACTGGCTGTTGGAAAAGTAGTAAAAGTATTCCCTTGATTCCATGATGGTCATTACATCCTTTGCTGTAATTACCCTTAATCCTTTAGTATGCAATGTTGAAGACAGTAAGCCTACCAAATGGAAGCCGGGCATTGGTGGTGCATGCCTTTGATCCCAGCACTAGGGAGGCAGAGGTAGGTGGATCTCTGTGAGTTCGAGACCAGCCTGGTCTACAGAGCAAGTGCCAGGACGGGCTCCAAAACAATACAGAGAAACCCTGTCTCGTAAAACAAACAAAAAACCCAAAATATAACAAACAAACAAACAAAACCGAAGAGGCACTTCCTTTAAACAAGTAAGGCCCAATGATTTAAGTAAAATATTTATTTATAATTAACCTCCTTAACTATGCTTATCATCTCCTAAATTCCATAATCTTCAATAATAATCCTTGTCTGCATAAGAAGCTGAGGTATACAGAATGCATTCTTGTGCCATTTTAGTGTATTCTCCAATCTTGGGAGGAAAGCAGCATCATTGTGTCACTAGATAGAAGGATGTATTATCTTCTCATTCACAAGCAAATAGTAATGACCCAAAATTTAATGGCAAAATCCATACACCAGGAAAGATGTGAACAGTCATAAAGCCTAGGACTAGAAGGAGTGGCCTTCTACTTGACCCGTTTTCTTTATTGCACAGGTGTGAACGAAATATAAGGGTTCCCGTTAATGAGAATATGAATGCTAGTATAATATTAAATACAGAGAAAATGAGCTTCGATCGAGGAGAGAAAGGTGGTGTATTCAAGCTCATGTCCAGGGAGACCACCTCCAAACTAGTACTCAACACTCTTGTCTTGGATGTACTGCATATAAATATGATCTGGGGAGCAGGTGTTCAGGTCTCACCCCAAGCATATTAGTTTAGTGTAATTGAGGTGGGGTTCAGGAATCTGCAGCTTAAAAACACCTTTAGTGGCTTACAGCCTCTGACCACAGTTTGGAAAAATGATGCTGCTGAGCTAAGTATCTGGAGAAAAGGCACTCTCCTCTATAGTGTGGAAGAAAATGGTGCTGATGACCGAAGGAATACCATTAGGAACAAAGGGAGGTGTGGGTAGACTAGGGCAAGCCTTTAAAGAAAAAGGAAATGCATGTCTGTTACATGATAACTCTCCACAGAGCCCACAGGAGTCACTGCATGTGACTCTGTTTGTGACCTAGAGCTGAAGAAAAGGTTGATAGGCCAAGTTCAAAGCATTGACTTCCCTTTCAGGGAGACTGAAAAAATATGTGGGCATTTGTCAAGAGTTTTTTTGGAGTGACCCAAGTCTGTGGTTACAGAATGAGACATTCTTCCCTATGTGTGTTATGCCTTGATACTAAAACGTGTAGCAGCAACAGAAGGAAATGAAAAAGCTTAAAAGTAATTCCTTTTTCTTTTGCAAAGACAAAAAGAAATGATCTTTTAGAATTGCTGTAGTTTAGAAACCCTTGAGGTGGCATGTGGGTTCTGAGAGTCATTGGATGAGAGCATTTTCTTGATGATAATGTTCTATTTAAATAATTTACTTTGTACTGTTTTTCCTTTCTACACCCAAGTCTCTGAAGGACACCCAGGTTCACTAGGAGTGAAGGGCAGCAGGAGGCCTGGACCAAGAACCCCCCCCACACACATACATACCATACTTGAGTTTGTGAACGCAATCATGAGTCCATCTTGCTGGGTTGACTGTCTCCTTGTGGGGAGGCTAGTGATGCCTCTGCTGACATACAGACGATAGAAAGCAAAGTGTTTGGTCAAAGGTTACCGAGGCCAAAGCTCTCAACATCATCTCTGACTGACTCTCACTGTGTACACCCAACCCATCAGCAACATCTACAGCCATCCCTGAATTTCCAACTCCCTGGTCCTCCTGCTCACATCACTGCCACCTGACCAAAGACCCTCATTTCTCATCTGGACAGTTGCAGTGGCCTCTTTACTGGCCGCACTCATTGATGGTTTGGAGTTGGTTTGTCTCTGTCAAAACTTGTGTTAAAATTTGATTTGCAGTGGAACACTGTGGAGGGGTGACGGGAACTTGGATTAATTGTGAACAGAACGGACTTGAGGCATGTGCACAAGCTGGAGCCAACCAGACCGTCACCATGACTCTGGGAAAGCACTGTTATTTTCCTCAGCAATTTACTGAGTGGTTATTTCTCAAACCATGGCAAATCCTAAGGATTTGAAGGGATATTTTGAGATCCAATGTGGTGCTGAATATAAAAAACATCCGTTTCTTTGGTGGATGCTAGATTCCAGAGGGCTAGAGACTAACCATAGGGCTAGAGACTCTCTCCCTTCAGTGGCTGAGGAGGTCCTCCTTTCTGGGACACTGAAGGGATGGGGTCAAAGGTGTGGGCTGTAAATTCATGCAGCTGCCTGGAATTTCTTGGATGAATGAAAAGGTGCATAAGAATGCAGAAAAGTTGTTCGCCTACTAGACAGCATGTGCCCAAAAGTCCAAGAGCTCTATACCAGGGTGCCAAATATTGGCTTTGATATCCGTAATGCCACCAGCACTAGGGAATGAGAGCTTTGACATCGTAGTGTTTGAAGTCTTAGCTCCTGAGAAGAAACATCTTACTCACAGCCATTTAAACTAGAAGATAAATGGAGCCCTAATACTGATGATATCACCAAGTATACACAGGAGCTGGATATGCTACATGCATTAGGTCTATCCTTTACAAAGAACCCAAACCTTGTTTTGTAGCTAGTTTTCTCTTCAAGCTATCTCATGTTATCTAGTCATTGTCTCTAGCATACCAGAAGCAAGTAGTTCCCTTCTTGATTCTGCAGAAGAGGCAGGAGTGAGATGGTTAGATCAAAGTAATGGTCCCTCATTTGTTCGATAAAATCATGCTGCATTCCCTGAGTCACAATCTACTCCCTCCATCCAAGGCACATTGTAACCCAAAAGGATGCATTCACACAGTCATAAAGGAAAGAGTCCCTAGCCCCTGGAATGACCATATGTCTCCTACTGGTTGTGTTTCTTGATTCATGAAAGAACTGGGTATTTCTTTGTATTTAGTACCATGTAAGGCCTCGAAATGTCCCATAAAATCCTCAGATTTTATTCATTTATAAAGAGGGAATCTCAATTGAAAACATTTTTCCCACTAGATTGGCCTGTGAGCAAGCCTATGGGACATTTTCTTGATTTATGATTGATGTGGGAGGGCCCAGCTCTCTATAGGACATGTCACCCCTGGGCAGGTGGTCCTAAGGTGTATAAGAAAGCAGACTAAAGGAGTCATGGGTATCAAGCCAGTAGGCAATATTTCTCCATGGCCTGTGCTTCAGCTCCTGACACTAGGTCCACACCCTGCCTGAGTTTCTGCCCTGACTTCCCTCGGTGAATGACTGCTACCTGTAATCAGCCCTTTCTTCCTACAGTTTCTTTTGGTCATGGTGTTTTTATCAGAGCACTAGAAACCCTAAATAAGATTGTTGTTAAAATGTCTAGGTTTATCCTGAAATGAGACACAGACCGTGACTCAACAATCCCACGTGGAGTTTATTGGTGGACAGGGAAGGAAACGGGGTTGAGAGGTAACCAACCCGTGCAGAGCAGAGAGAGAGGGGGGGGCAAGAGAGAGGATGAGATGGAGAGGAAGACGAGAGAAAAAGAGTGTAAGCAGGCAGGGGTCAGTCCTTTAAAGGGGTCCTTTGCACCTGCATGGTTCTCACAGAACTCTGGGCTAGCCAGAGTGCTGCCTGAGTGCATCTTGCCACGTCACAGGGCAGGCCAGCGTAATGCCTGAATCCTTTCAAAGATGCTTTACTTTAGGAGTAAAGAGTCACGAGCTACAGGCTATTACAGTGTAACAGAATTAAGAGAGGTAGATCTTTAGAATTATGTAATTGGTCACTACTGCATAAAAAGATTAAGTAATGTAATTCTTCAGAGACAGAGTTAGTCTTCAGAGTGCGTTGTTACAAAGTGAGGCTACCCAGTCCCTTTGGTCCCTTCTACCCATTGCTAGTTTCTTTTCTGCTCTTCTACTGTGTTGTAAGAGCCAGGATGGGATGCTAGTGCCTACCTGTTTGTAAACTGTAGCTACCGGAATCATAATTAAATAAACTCCTTTGGTTTATAAATTAACAAGCTTATTAGCAAGAGAAAACAGACTGGGTTAGAATTGTATCTAAGTGTTAGTGAGTTAAGCCAGAAAGCATGGTTGTTTCTACCGTCTGGGAATCTATCTTCATAGTCTTCCTTTGAAGAAGTTTTTCCCCTGACTCCAGATTTATTGGCATTTAGCCTTGTTTTTTTAGAGAGAGAGAAAGAGAGGGCATGGAATTGGGGAGGTGGGTGCTAGGTCCAAACCCCAAAAGCCAGTCCAGTGAGCTCAAATTAGACTATAGGATGATTTCTATTGATTATATAAAAGCCAGTCTTCCTCAGGAACTTGTGAAACTAGTCCCTATCTACAAAAATGAGTCACTTCCTTATTTCTGTCAGAAGGGACATATGGTACTTATTAGCACATCAAAGCACACAGTGGCCAAAAAGTTTCCTCAGTATCACAAGTACCTGATTTCTCACCTCCTTCCCTGCCCTATACTCCCTGCAGCTCCTGGGCTTCCCTCACCCCAGCTGTTGGGTATCTGTATAACCTGCTATTCTCACTATGCCCCCTCTATGCTCTGCTTCTGCTTCTCTCACTATGATTCCTGCTGGTCTCCCCCTCCCTTGCAGATATCCCTGGCCAGGTCCAGTCTGCTGGCCATGTACAGTCTACTTCTTCCTCTCCCTGCTCTGGACTCTTTCAAATGCCTCTGACTGTTCTCTTTCTCACATATACAGTGAAAGCCTTCCCCTTAACCATGCCACGGAGCAGCCATGTCATCAGTTTATGCAGTGGGGGGGTTCTGGGAGGAATTAGGGTGGGGAAAAGTGTGATCAGAATATATTGTAGGAAAAAAATTCAGTTAAAAAAGATTAGAGCTGATGGCCAGGTCAGACATTTCCCCACAAGACTGCAAAGGAGCAAAGGTAGAAATTCTAGACTGGAAGTTCTGCTTTAATGAACAGAATCAGTCAGAGCATAGCCAAAAACAAATTACTAAAAGCTTCTTTTCCTACCACTCATGACATGTAGTCCTGTGGGCAAGGGAAGACTGGCAGTTATGGGTTAGGAGGAAGCAGGCTAGTGGAGCCTTCAGGCACACTGAGGATACCCGTTCAAACTGAGGTTCACTGTCCACTAGAGCTTTGGTTGATCAGTTAGGGAGGGCCACTTTTGAGGTCTCAGTGCAGGGACACAAAGAAAAAGACAAGGGGAAAATGTATCATTCGAAAAGCTGTTACATTCTTCATCAAAGCACATGGAAGAAATAGTTCTGAGAAATATAAGAATTCTGCTTTATTGCTCCTTGTTTGGTATTATTATTAATTATTTCCTTTTGCTTTGGCATAGAGGTGATAGAGGTGGGCAGCATACCCTCTCCAGTCCTGGTGTTTCTAGAAAGCCTTTCTATGGTCCTGGTGGCACAGCAGCAGAAGCAAGTAAGTCTGGGTCAAGAGAGCTTTCTGCTGCTGTTCCCTTGGGTTTTAGGGACACATGGACCTGTGGATTTGTTACCAGAGCTATCAGGGTTAAAATCTAGACCTTTAGAGCCCTAACAAGCTAGCCTCAGCCACCCATCCTCAATAGGCCAATTAAAGAGAAAAATTATGCTAAAATCAGATAAATGAAATCTATTTAATGGCCACATTGGGAAAAGGAGCAAACAAAGAGAGAGGTCAAATAGCATCCAGAATCTATCTTTAGGGCCTAATGTGAGTTTTAGGTTTAAACAGAGACAAAGGGTATGCATAACTAAACAGGCCTGGTCAAAGTGTGGTCTGGGCTCTGGGCTCTCCCACACTGATGTCTGACAAGTTGTTGGGCTGTGGGAAGTCTCTTCCTATGACAAGCCCCTCCTATAGCAAGCACCAAAGCTACAGCCTTTCCCTTCCCCAGCAGGAGATTCCTGGGGATTTTCAATTCCTTGGGGTCCACTGTCTCAATAACCTGATAGCCAAGCAGAGGCACAGTGTCTCTCTTTAGATTCTTTGCTCCTGCATGCTCAGTTGCAGGTTTCTCAAGAGGAAGTGTCCCTACCTGTGCTGATATTCATAATGGGAATAATACTGGACAATGCCCCGGGCCACACCATGCTGTGATGTTCCATTTGGGAATAGGCACCTTTATCATCAGAGGACCAGAGGGCTGCTTCCCTGAGCATAGATCAATCATTGTGTAGGAGAGAGCTGTCACGTAACACCATCTGACCCACCTATCCTAATTACAGCTGTAAGCTTATTCTCTGAAAATTACCAAAGGAGGGAGTCTTTAGAAATCACACACACACACACACACACACACACACACACACACACACACACACCACCACCACCACCACCACACACCCCCACATATACCCCCCCACACACCCTTTAGATGTTTCTGTTAAAACACACCTTTGCATACTCCTTGTGGGAAGGATTTCACTTTGCAACTCCAGCTGGCCTTGATTTTAGGTCCTTCTTTCCTTTGTCTTCCAAGCGCAGAGATTAGAGGCATCAGTACATCCAGCCTTTTGTCAATGCTTTGGTGTGGCACCTTCTTTTGGCTGATGGTGCTGGTAAGCATTCTTTGTTTCCTCCTTTAAAAAGAAAGATAGTCAGAAGTCTCCCCTCCAGTTTTCTTATTTTGATCTCCTTAAAATGTTGTGAGAAAATCGTCACTTGAGAAGCAATCTGCTTTATGACATTTTTCTAAACATTTCATTAGTGTTTCAGCCACACTAATACTTTGCAGTGATTTTCCTGTGTTCAGCCTTGCCAAAGCATCCAATTTACCTTGACTAGGAAGAATAAATACCCATCTTTATTACTTACACCCCATTGATTTTTAACTGCTAATTAAATTGTGTAATTTCTGTGACAAGCCCAACTAAAATAAACAAGATGAAAGAATATACATACATACATACATACATGCATACATACATACATACATACATACATACCTGTGAAGAAGTGCTGGGTACTGAACCCAGGGCCTCTTGCATGCTGAACAAGTGCTCTTCCTCTGCACTACATCCAGGACTCTAGAAAGCATTGGTTTTCTGGGTGAGCACACCAGAGAGAAGCTGTGGGGATGCTTAGCTCACTCCAGGCATCCACTGCTGTGCTCCCTGCAGATGACAGAGCAGATGGATAAGGGCCATTCGTGGGTTTCTGTAGTATTATCAGCTTCGCTAGAGTAGGATGATGCTCAACTTACCCGGAGTCATCACATAAATTCATTGAAGCTGGAAATACCACAAGCCAATATTTCAGGGAATTCATCTAACCTACCAATCGCCCTAGCTCTGGAGAGCAGCGCTTGGTAGAGTGCCTCCGTTGTTTCCTCTCATACCTCATGGTTGAAGGGTTTTGTCACAGATCTCTAGTCTGTGAAGAGATCTAAATTTGAACCCCATTTCTATGGTATGGCTTCCACTTTTTGCACCATCACACATCCGAAAAACATAAATGGAACCATCCTAAGTGGGGGATCAAGGTCTCAGGGGTTTTAGGAACAGAGTTGCTCCTTCCTGATCCGGGTTATTCCCACATTGGTAGGAGCTCCTTCCTGATCCGGGTTATTCCCAGGTTGGCAGGAGCTCTATCTCCCATGCTCTATGTCGAGGGATTCGGTAAGGACCTGGCTTTAGATGTGATGAGCGGTGGCTGAGAGAGTGGAAGAGAAGCCACACGGTAGCTTTTGGATTCTGCTGACTATTGGCACAGGCCACACAACTTCACATTTTCTTGACAACAGGGGATTAGGTGACTAGGCCTTTTATCAGGCAGGGGAAACACAATTTCATGGAGGGCACTGCAGCACTTTGACAAGCTTGACTCCAAAGAGAGGTGAACAGCTCTCTCCCGAGGGAGGGGATGACTACTTGGCATGAAACACTCTCTACAATATATTCTCGGTTGTGAGCCTAGCCTTTAATGGCTGAGCCATCTTTACAGCCCTCTCTACAATAGAAGTTAGGTAGATGCCAGTTAACCAACCCTGGTGACTTGTGTTCCACTTAGTGGTGAGAATATGATCTCACAAATACTGTGTTTGATGGTTTGGCCTTTGCACCATTGTTTTAGAATTACACGAACTAAGCGATGAAGACATTGAAAGCACCACCAAATATGTAGCCCTCTGTATGACTTGATATCTATCAACAAGCAAAATGATGCCACAGCATCATTTAAAGGAGAATTTGTCCCCAAGATTCCTATGGCTCAGCATCTCTGATTCTAACCATCATTGCTAGGAATCTGAAATAATAAACTCCATGTTCTACAGACCCTCCAGAATTGAAGCCGTGATTACCACATAGTGTTTGCTCAGTGAAAGTTTGACTGACTGAACAAATGTGCTCTTCTTCATCTTTAGTACAGGTGCAGTTACAAATAGACACTGGCAAGTTCTCACTAAAATGACAGAGACTGTTAGAGTGAGGATAACATGTTGAGGCTCAGGTCACAGACAATGTTTTGAAAAAACACTGTTGGATCTGAAGATCATATATGCACTGTGGCATGTCCCCCTCCCACTAGAAAGTAGGAGAAAGTCCTTCAAGCTAGAGAACATGGGAAGCCATGGTTGCCACCTAATTCTATAAAAGATGAACATTGCAAATAGCCAGAGAGGAAGAATAGAGTAGGGGGTTCAGGGTAAAGCTTTGGTGGACACTTGGCAGTTGGTGTGATTTCCTGGGGTCAGAGTCCCATGAACAAAGCCTATGGGACTGAGGACAGAATCTAAGGCAGCTGCTCTAGAAAGCTCACTCCTCAGTGGAGTCTGTGAAGTGAGTCTGGATGGTAAATAAGGAACTGATCAATTATTCTGGTGCCACCTCTGAGCTTGACTCTGGTACGTAGGTACACTTGGAGTCCTTATGCAAATCTCCACCTCCTTCCTCTTGAGACAAGGGTTTTTTTTTAACTTAACGTTAAAAACAATTTTAGTAAAAGAAAACAAAAAACTTACTTACTATTCAAAAAACAAAAACCTAGGAGCTGCCTGAGGACTCTGGCCCTGGGCTGCAACATAGCAACATAGCAACAACTCCATGCCATGCCATGTGAGTCAACTAGGATGGTAATGAGAGAGAGAGAGAGAGAGAGAGAGAGAGAGAGAGAGAGAGAGAGAGAGAGAGAGAGAGAGAATGAGTTATGTGCATGGGAGAGAGGCAGATTTGCAGAGGTGAGCATGGTGAGGAATGGGCTGATGCAGAGGCCCTGCTGCCACCACCCAGGGCCAGCCCCTGGGTCTGAGATGCTGCCAAGGGCCATGGCTTGGTTGGTGACCCTGATGAAGGCAGACAGGATAGGACTGTGCAGAGTTGACCCCACTCCTCACTGGCTAAAATAGTCAGGAGAGAGAGGGTCCTACACCTCACCTGGGATGCACAGTAGAGTGACCCTGTTCTCAGGGGCATGGGCGAGCTGGTCCTGAGGATGTGAGAATGGGAGAGCAGGCCAAGGGCCTCACCTCTGCCATGTAGTAGCATGGGCGAAGGAAAGATGCCCTCCTCCCCTTACCCTTTAATGCCTGCAGCAGGTGGGGCATCTGACCCAATCCCCTACCAGCTGTGGCACTTGGGGGAACAGACCCTCAGCCCCATCTGGGCAGCACAGTAGAGTTGGCCATGTAGACAGGGGTACAGATGAGCCAGCCCTGAGGCCATGAGAGGGACATAGCTGGTACCACCTCATTAGTCTGTGGTGTGGTGGTAGGGATGAGGGAAAGATGATCCCCCCTTTGCCCCAATTGCCTCCAGGTGGCGAAGGAGCTGACCCATTTACCAACTGTAACACTCCGGAAAATGAACCCTGCACTTCATCTGGCTGGCACAGCTGAGCTGACCCTGTTGTCAAGGACATAGGGAGGCCAACCCTGAGAACACCAACATGGCAGACTTAGCCAGGGCAATGCTGGAGAACTCACCCTAGTGGTGAAGACAGACTGACCAACCCAGAAACTACCCATGCCCAGGACCAGGGTTGTGTGTTGGTCTAACCCAATAGCCACCGGGTCTGTGATCTGCTGGTGCATGGACATGGGGTGGGGTTGGGGGGTTGTTAATGCTGCTGACTCAGTGTTGCAGGATCTCTAGGACACAAGGCAGCAACAGGATGTCCAGGAAGAGTCACAGAAAGGGCCCAGCATCCATGGTGTAGGAGAGACCAGGGGTCTCAAACCATACCACTGACTCTTTGCAATGAACACCTGCATATAAAAACGTATGGATAAAGGGGTTTACTGAATGACTCACTGTGTCACAATGCAGCTCACATAATGAGATTTCCCTCTTTCTCCCTCCCCCTTTTCTCTTAAATTTTATTTTGTTTTATTATGGGTGGGGTGGTGGATATGGGTGGGATCTGGAAGTATGATGTGAAAGACACAAAGAATAAGTAAAAAGAAAGTTAAAAAAGACAAGGGCTTGAGAGGTGATTCAGTGAGTGTCAGGGTTTCTGTTGTTGATAAAACACTTGTGGGGAGGAGGCAGTTGGTTTCGGCTTCCAACTCTCCTGCCACAGGCCACCACCAAGGGGAGTCAGGGCAGAAACTGAAGCAGAGGCCGTGGTGGAAGGCTGCTTACCAGATTTCTCCCTTTGGCTCTTTCCACCTGCTTTATTATATGCCCAGTACCGTTTGCCCAGGGTGTGTCCACTCATAGTGAGCGGATCCTCCCCCAATCACTAATCAAGAACTGTCCCACAGGCTTGCACACAGGCCAAAATGAAAGGGGCATTTTCTCAGTTTCCTCTTCTCAAATGACACTAGCTTAGGTCAAGTTAGCCAAGACAGGGGTGAGAGCATTTGCTACACGAGCATGAGGACTTGAATTTGAATCCCAGAACCTACGGTAAAAGCCACATGTAACTGTGCAAATATCTGTGACCCCAATGTTATAAGGAGGATAGAGACAGTAGGATCACTGGAGCCCCATGGCTGGCAACCTAATATCTGGTTCAGAGACCCTGCCCCAAAGGAAGAACATGGGGACCGACAGAGGAGGGCACCAATGACCTCTGGCCTCTGTGTGTGCACATAGATGCAGGCACCTGTGTAATCTCTACATGCATGTGTGCCATGTATACCACACATGTGCTTACCCCCCATGCATGTGTACAGAGGAGCGAAGGAGGAAGGAAGGAGAGAAGGAAGAAAAGATGGAAGAAAGAAAAGAAGGAGACAAGACAGTGGAGTTATCAGTACCAGCAGAGTGTCAGTGAGAAGTGACCACCTCCCCCGCTGTGCAGCCCCGCCCCCAATTCTCACAGTAAACTGTATCCGGAGAATCCATCCAAACAACCTCTTCCTAGTGGGCTCACTACATTCTGACACTCCTATTCCTCCTTAGCACGACATATTAGCTGCTATCGCTGTGGTCAAACACTATGGCCAAGGCAACTTAAAGAAGGGAGGGTATATTTGGGCTTTCGGATCCAGAGGGATAAATAAGAGCCTGCCATGGCCGGGAAGCATGGTAGCAGGCGGCAGGCATGGTGGCAGGAGCCGGAGCTGAGGGCTCACATCATGAACCACAGGCAGGGAGCAGAGAGGACAAACTGGGAATGATGCACCACTTGGAGACATGGGAGCTCAGCCCAGTGCCTTACTTCCTCCAGTGAGGCCACGCCTCCTTAACCTACCCAGTGGCAGCAACCACAGGCTGAGCACTCAAATGTCTGAGGGTATAGGGGACATTCTCATGGGAAGCACCACATAGGGGAAGGAGCACTGCACTGGGGGTAGAAAGTGTCTTTAATTTGTAAATTGCGTCTCTAAATGGTGATGCAAAGCATCCGCCTACTCCTGCTGTTCACCGCATCTGCCACCCACTTGACCCCTTAAGACATTCGCCATCCCTATCAACCTCAGTCCCACCAGCTGTCAAATGGTGCCTCATACAGTTGTTGCGGGAATTGAATTAGTTACTATTTACAGGCCTTATGGCCCAGAATTGTACAAACACAAGAGGGAAATCAAATAAAACATACTGTCACGGACTATCCACCACCTACGAAGAGAAACAAAATACTAACCATTACTAATCTCCAGTTTCTTCCCACTGGGAGGCTGTGGAACCCTCAGCAAGAGCCAAAAGAGTCATTTCTCATCCCA